AGCCTCCTGTGTTATTTTTCTCTGGTTGCTGGAATAAAATATATGATGCCCAAAATTAAGGAAGGAAAGGTTTATTTAGCTCGCATTTTGTGGAGGTTTCAGTCCCTAATCAGCTGGTTCAAAGCAGAGTGGAATGGTGAGAGGCAACAGTTCATGGCAGAAAATGGCAAAAACAAGAGGGAAACAGTGGAGAACAAGCCTCTTTTCCTCCCTTATATTCTAAGCAGACATCCTGCCCTAGGGTGGGTCCTCTACAATGTAGGAAGTAGAAATCCTGAGTCACTTAGTGAAGCTTTTGCATTTCTCAAATTCACACAAATGAAGCAACCATTACAACATACGAGGGAGTAAACAGTCACACTAGGGCATGTCCTCTGTGCTCTAGGATATAGAACTGATCAATAATTTAGTTGTAAACTTATGAAATTGACACAATGTATCAACAATCACATCTCCATTTATCCCTTAGGGAAGTGAATTTGTGGTCCCCAATAATTTATCATTGCTGTATTCACAAAGGCTTTGTCTTTTTTCCACACACACAAAAAAATTATGGTGACGCATGTTTTATCTCGAGTAAATTATAATGGTTCTATAAAAGTTTTACTTTCCTAGCTTAGTTATATGAAAGTAAAAGCTAGACTTGATGTTCATTAGAATAATTATAAAAATAACATGTTAAAATAACCACATGTTTACTTTTTTTCCCTGACTTTATATGCTTTGTATCTTGGAGGTGAAAAATTACTCTTGAACAGCACAGGATGTATGTAGGCCCCACTGCAGTGCTATAATAGTAATAATAATTTACTGATAAATTCAAAATTGGAGGTCTACTGAGAATTTTATGAAAATTATTTTTAGAATAGGGTTAAAGTTTATTGCAAAAGTGGATGACGTTTCAGATTCACTAGTTTGATTTTGGGGAGAACAGGATCACTTTTAAGTTTTGTTTTCCTTATTTACACCTAAGTGATTAATTCCAGTATCGTGTTGGAAAAAAATTTGAAGGCATGTTTTTCCCATGGAAAATTGACATTTTTTATTACTACTTATATTACTTTTAGTCAAAAGTATTTTATCTGTGTTACTTTTCTCTCATTGCTGGAGAGAATACCAAGCACTCAAAATTAGAGGAGGAAAGGTTTGTTTAGCTCGTGGTTTGCAGAGGTTTCAGTCCATAATCAGCTGACTCCAAGGAAGGCTGGCATGGCACAGGGACAGCAGTTCATGGTGGTGGAAGACAGCAAGGCAGCAGGATCCCAAAAGGAAAGCCAGCCTCTTTCTGCCCCTTTTATTTTATCTAGACTGTTGAGATCAGGGCAGTGCTGATCCAGAAATGTGCTGATCCAGCAATTGCTCAGCCCTAATCCTAGCACTCTTAATCCCAGTATTGCTCTATATCCAGTTACTTTAAAAATAAAAGCCACATCTAAACATGTGTCAGGCTTGGGAAGGACATCTAGTTACAAACCGTAACACAACCCTCTTTGATGAAATACATCAAGGGATGTAACGGTCTCTTATAATGGGGATACTATCCAAGCAGTGTTTACAAACCAGTGTCCGTTACACACTGTTTCCTGTATTACCAAAATGAGTGGGAAATGGAGGCTCAGTTTCTTTTGTTTTGGAACCAGGGATTGAACTCAGGACCTTGCACTTGCCAGGCAGGCCCTTAAGCTGCTGAGCTATATCCCTGGTCCCAGCACTTATAAATGTTTACAGCAACATTTCCTCCCTTACAACCCAGGCAAGTCTCTTCACCAGACTGTCAACGAACCAGCATATCTAGCTGAAGGTGCAGATTATCTACACTTTCACCAGCCAATGTAGGGGGTCTAGGCAAAACCTGCAGTGATATACAATAACTGCTCTGTGAGTTCTCAAAAGCTTTAACGTATGACTAATCATAGTCAACCCTGTAAAACATTTTAGGAAACAGTTTACATGGTTCAAATAATGTTCATAGAGAACTCTTGGCCTTTAATTTCTCTTTGATAGATTTTTTCTTCGTAGTTTTTCTTTTCAATCCATCTGGCATTAAATGTTTTAAGTAATTTATCTAATAGTGTGTGTCATATTTGTTTCTAAACTGTACGCCTGAACCACTAGATGTGTACCATTTTATAGAACGGTGGGCTTGATCCTGAAGACATGTTTCTTAGTTAAACATCTTTATTTTTTAAGTTTTAAAACATCTTTTATTTATTTATTTGGTGCAGGGATTCACTGAGCAGTTCAGACTCATAGTGATCCTCCTCCTGTCTAAGCCGCCCCAGCACTGGGATTACAGGCACATGCTACCACTTCTGGTGCTGATGGCTGGCACAGTGAGCCTGAGGCCTGGGCTGGGGGGATTGAACCCGGGGCCTTATGCTTGCCAGGCAGGCACTCAGACCACTGGGCAATCTCCCCAGCCCCTACTTAAACATCATGATTATTTTATTTATTTATTTATTTATTTATTTATTTATTTATTTATTTACTTTGCAGAACCAGGGATTGAACTCAAGCCCTTGCACTTGCCAGGGAAGTGCTTATTCCACTGAGCCATCTCCCCGGACCCCCTTGATTATTTTATATAACATAATATTTCTCAAATTTTCATCATTATCAGATTTGACTCTTTCCATTATCTATTTTTAATTATTGTTCTTTTAATCTGTATTTAAGTGCAACTTGCCATTGTTGATAGGAATTGTGATTATTTTCCTGGATGCTTCTTAAAGTGGAAATGCCCAATGTAGTAACGTTAGTTGTTAAAGAAAACACAGTACTAAAAAGATTAGTCATGCTTTGGAAGAACTTGTATTGTATACTAAATTTAGTCCTGTTCTGAGTGAGATTCCTCCCTGTATACATCACAGCACAGCTGCTAATGTCGAGTATGTTTGGGTTACATTCTAGTGGATGTGAATTATTGGAAACAGATATTGCTGTATATTAGTAGCAAGCAATAATGACACTTTGCATTTAAAATCCATGTTGTGATGGATATTTTACCATTGTCTTTCGGATCTGCTTTCCAACCCTCTTTGCTTTGCCAGTGCCTTCTGCTTCTACTTTGGTTTAGCTAATGGGAAGCGTAGGCAGCTTCCTACACTGTGAATAGGAGGGTGGATGGAGATTGAGATCTGAGCTCCTATGTTCCAGTTCCTTTAAAGCATTTTGTTTTGTTTTGTTTTTATCCTGGGGATCAAACTCAGGACCTCGCACTTGCCAGGCGACAGGCACTGACGCCACTGATCTATCTCCCAGTCCCGTCCAGTTCCTTTACACCAGTTGCGTCTCTTAAATCAATAGTAAGCATTTAATTTTTTATAGGAAAAAAATGTTATTCAGAAAGTTAGATGAAAAATAGCAAAGGACTCCAGTTTTGGTTTAGTCTGGCCCACCCAAAAAGGCCAAAACCCAGATTTTTATTTTTATTAATATCGGTTTGTAGTACGTAGTGTTTACCCTCCACGAGGGGAGCTGGCACATTTGTAGGAGACCCTTGATCTTTCTCTGTGCCTTTGACCCCCTCGCTTCCCCTTCCCTTCCTTCAGTCACTCCACTTGAGGATGTCGTGTTTCCTGACAAATTCTGCTCTTATATAAATCATGAGTTCTTAAACTTAGTTTTATTAAAAATGGAATGCAAGGCCATTACATATTAATATTATTACCTATTTCATTATTTGATTTTACCACTTAAATACTCCATTACTCACAATTGCATGTTCTAGTTTTGGTTTTGTGTTCATAACATATGATCAGGTAATCTTCAGAAGGGAATCTGGATATGAGGGCAAGCTGAGAGTGCATAGTCTATATAATACAAAGACAAGAGCCATAACCAGAAATCCAAAGTTATTTAAAAATATCAAAGACACATTGGTCTAATAATGATTGTGAGCATTAATATAAGGTTTCCTATATTCCAAGCTCTAGTCTAACCAAACGACATACACTGAACAATATATTTATGTCTCGCCCTGACTCTATGAGCAGACATTGTCCCCATTTTACAAGTGAGGAAACAGCCTCTGAGCAGTTAAGTAGATCTGTTACTCTTGTATAATCTATTCTTCTGGCCATTCTGCTGTCCTTGCAATGGATTTGCTAATACAACTGCTAAATTTTAATACAGATTAGATAATATATGAACAGATGTGTCTACAATCGCAACATAGTAGGAAGAATATATATATGTTTTGGCAGCAAAGTTAGGCTTGATTCCCAGGTGTGAGTTTAAATAGTTTCCTAGTAATCTGTTCCTTTTTTTTTTTCATTTTATTTTTCATTGAGAAATAAGTCTAAATGAGACAGTTTCACAGCTGATTAAGAGGACAGTTTTGATAATCAATACATTGTACATTGTTATCTTCTTAGTGGTTATCCATAGCACAAGAAGCAGACAGGATATCCTGTCCAAACACTGTTAGTACACTTCTTTCTTCTCATTGAATTAAGTGAAAGTAGCTGTAAATCTATCCTAACTATTTTGTATATATAAATACAAAATGATCTTTCCTTTGTATCATTTTTTTTGTCCTGTCAGAGGTGAATATTCTATTGGCATCTAAATACTATAGGTGTTTGAATTCAACTAAACAATCTAACACTGTCTAGCAGTCTATATTAGTGGGTTATCCTCAGAAGTTATTGACTTGAGCCTTTTACAATTCATTGTATTAATATGGCTTTACTTTATATATCTCGTTTTTATACTTTTCTGCTGGATAGTTAAGACCAAGATATAGCAAGACCTATATAGCAAGAAATGTAACTTTTGTATCTGATAAGGTCAGCCAAGTACTCTCAGGATTTATCCTGTAGCCCTGTACAGCCCTTTGTACATCCTTTTCTCAGTGAATAATCTGTTCTTAATCCTGATTTTTTCATTCTTGTTCCCTTTTCCCCAAATCATGAATTTGCATGATATATTATTTAATACTTTGAGTGAATTTCTATTCTAAAATAGATTTTATATTTTTCTTCAGGTTTATGGTCTGTAACTATGCCTGTTAACAAATCACCTGCAGTTAATCAGTTTGGATTAATATCTTCCCCTTATCATCAAGAACTCTTGAAATTTAATTTTCAAACCTCAGGTAAAAGTAAGAGTCATAAATCAAGGTAAGTAAAAATTGTATTTCAAAGCAGGGAATCCATATGCATTATGGAGAACATTGAAAGTTCAAAAACTAAAAAAAGATTAAAAATTGTTGGAAGCCAAAGGGAGACTGTTAGAGAAGAGGAGGGAGACCATCAAGGGGTGGAGAGAGAGGGAGAAGGTAATGAAATGATCAAAGTATGTCACACACATGTATGAATATGGAAAGTCTGTAAAACCAATATGGACTAATTTTTAAAATGTGGAAGAAAATTGTTAAAAGGAAAAATAAATCATGTCTCTCTAACCAAGGGTAAAATGTTCAAGTGCCCTATTATTTCAATAGCTTCATTCACTGTAATGTTCATCTATTTTAAAAAAGTGTAGGTTATACAATTACTGTATAACTCTATGCAGAAATCTGTATAATTTTCTTTCTATTGGAGATAAGCATTTTCTATACTCATGTAAATTTTAATTTGCCACAGGAATACATAAAATGCATCAGATTATGTATTTGATCACTGCCACAGTGTGAGGAATTTTAATTATTTCTTAGTCCTTTCCTATTTTATTTTATTTACTTATTTATTTTTTGTGGTAGTGGGATCCTTTCCTATTTTAAATTTAGCCACAACAGTATGGAGTTCTATGTCTCAAATCATTTTCTTGGAATACATTTTCTAAAATGAAGGCATGGGGCTGGGGAGATGGCTCAGTGGAATAAGCGCTTCCCTGGCAAGCGTAAGAGCCTGAGTTCAATCCCCGGTTCCAGAAAAAAAAAATAAAATAAAATGAAGGCAAATGCAACTTCAATGAACTTGAAAGCCTTATAGCCACAGAGTCCACTTTCCCTAGTGGTTTCGTCTTGTGTCCTTGCCCTAATGCCATAGCATCCCATGTAACAAATGCAAGGGCTTGGGAAGTCCTTGCTGTTCCAGCCACTACAGTGAGGAAAGTAAATTCATAGTGCATGATCCACAAAGTGAGCAGTTTTGCTGTAAATTACATGCTATATGTATTTAATTTATACTGAAGAAATAAGAAAAATGGTTAGTGCATATAAATAGTTTGGAAGAATTATATCTTATATATCTTATATCTAGTAACATTTAGTTTTCTCCAAATCTGCTATGTGATTGTAATTATTATGTACAGCAAACATATAGTAATGAAAGTAAAAAAAAAATCCATATTGGGATCATTCTCAGCAACATAATTTTTCTCTTTTTTTAAAAAAAAATTAATAAAGATAGCTTTCTGTTTAGCTCCCCAGTGATGGGGACAGGAGGGTAGGCTCAGTTCTGTTAGTCTTTACCTTGGGTATTTCATTAGACAAGCTGGAGAGATTCTACTGTAAGTTTCTCACACCTTGACTATCCTGGATTCTTTCTACCACATAGTCATGTAGAAAAGCACGCTTGTTCTTTTTAGCTGTGACCCTCTTCATCAAGAGAAACCAGATGTTTGATGTGAAGCAGGGATCTACTTGCACTGGGAGCATTACTCTGCTTTCTGTGACATGTACAGCAAGTATTTTCATAAGCCTCATATTCAGTCTCCTTCGCTTGTTCTTCCTCATAGGAAAAGGAAATTCCCAGTCTTAATGGAAGGTTTCATACACACCCACTGATTGTGCACTACAGTCTATTCATTTCTGGAGCAAAGAAAAATTCACACAAAGTTTCAATGGATTGCTGGCTCAGAGCATATTGTTTCACAATAATTTTCTTTGATAACTAAGATTAGTATTGTGTATAGTTTCTTGTCTTTTTTTCTACTTCATCTCAAAGATGAAAGAGACGAAGGTTTTGAATGAGTACATCAAGTGTACACATTTATATTAGCTGACTAAAAAAAATTAAATGGAGTATGGAACATTAGAAAACTGTAGTTAAACAAATTCTTTCATATCTTTTTTTTCATAGAAACCTCTTTGATATTTTTTATATTTGGGGAAATGTAGTTTTCATAGCTTCTTCCTGAATTATTAAAAACTGGGAAGTTTTTCCTTTTTATTAATGTTCTGTGCATTATTATATTTGTAAAATATTCTTTATAAATACATGCTCTAAATATTTTAAAATATTCTATATATGCATGTGATGTATGTATTTGTCTATGTGCATTTATAATACAATATAGCTCTGTCACTGCCAGTGCCAAGAAAAAAAAAAAAAAAAGAAACTAACTTCTTTTTGGCCATTTGTCTCTTTGTTGCATAGTCTTTGTCTTTCTTTTGTGTGAATTATTATAACCTTTAAAAGAAATTGAAGTGATTGGGAACTTGCAATTGTATTTTCTGTACTCATGTAAATTTTAATTTGCCCCAGGAATACATAAACTGCATCAGATAAAGTATTTGATAACTGCCACGGCATGGCAGTTCATTTCGGCCCGAGATGTATTTGTGGTGGTTAGTGTTGGTCACAGATGCCGTCGCCGCCGGTGGAGCACTTTAGGATCCTGATGACTGTGCGGAGCTTGCCCACTGTCAGTATATTGGAGCACCGTTTATAATACAATATATATAATTGGAGCACCGTTGCCTTTAGGATTAACTGTTCCAAATGCAGGGGTAGCAGTTCCTCGTGTGCACAGTGTAAGCAGAGTCGCATAAATGACCAGAAATCACGGTGCTTATGTACCTGGGTGCATAGCGGTCCTGTGTCTGGGCCTGCAGCTCTAGAAGGGAGCATGTGATACAGAAGTAAGATAATAATGCTCTACCTGGAGTACACAAGTTCAGTGCGGTGAAGTAAATAAAATGTTTAAATTTGGCAATAAACTTTGGTGCATGACCAATTTTATCACCAAATCCAGACTTGCACATTTGCGACAAAAAGACACAGCAGATGTGCCCACATTATGGGTGTTGTCTTTTTCCTTTTGTTTGATACATAGCCAACCATTAACGACTGCGTGGCTCAGCTTCCCTTGCTCCTGGGTGTGGCCGTGGATGCAGTTGGTCAGTTATGTGTTGGCAGAAGTGTTGCCCATGACTGACACATTGTGCTCTTTTACTATTATTCTTTTTGTTTTTAAGTTTAATTTTTTTTATGTATTTGGTACAAGGTCTCACTACGCAGCTTGGACTTGTAGTGATCCTCCTGTTTCGGCATCCCTAGCCCTGAGATTACAGGCGCGTGCCACCATGCCTAGTCTCAGGGGCAGGCTCAGTGCACTTGGGGGTGGAGTTGGCATGGCACCACGGGGATCAAACTCCAGTCCCTGTGCTTGCCTAATTTTGTGCTCTTTTTAAAGGAGTAATGGAGGGGGCTGGGGAAATAGCTTAGCAGCATAAGCGCCTGCCTGGCAAGTTCATGGACCCCAGTTGGAGCCCCAGTATGGAACACCATGTGGGCCCCAAAACAAGGCACTGTGGCGTGTGCTTGTAATCCCCGCACTGGAGAGACTGAGACAGGAGGATCACTGAGTCTGAGCTGTGTAGTGTGACCTTGTACCAAGCAAATGAATACATATTCTAGATTTTTTTTTAAAGCTAAAAGGAGTAATATATCTCCTTGTTTTTCCTTCTACTACTTGCTTTTAGTAATTGCAGCAACTACAGTAGACACATTGGGTGTGAAATGGAAGGTGTATGTGAATAGTGAAGTAGCAAGATGTTTTAAAAATCTGAATTTCTAACATTGTAGGGCTTCCATATTATCCCTAGAGTTTTGTTTTGGTCTGCTACATGAAAAAGAATGAGTGTTTATCGTGATTACTTTGAAATAATATTGCTCTTTTATAGCAGCTGAATTAATTTCCTGTTTATGGAAAAATATTTTTGTGTATTTTCTGAGATTTGTTTTGTAAAACAAAGTACACAAACTATGCTCCACAGCTTTAGTTGTGATAGCTTTATTTTCTTTCCAGATGACTTATTTATAGGGCAATTGGAAAGGATTAGATTTGTTCTGAGGCTTTGATCTAGTTAGGTTAATAAAATTTAGTTGTACCAACTATCATCCACGGACTTGCACCCTCAATTTTATTCTGGAACTGGATGATTCTTATGGGCTTCAAGCAGAAACTCGTATTATGGAAAGACAATAAGCACTGTAAAAGTTCTACTCCTTTTCTGCCAATGTCTTCACTTTTGAGTGTTTTCATTGCGACGCAAAAATTTATTAGTTTGATATAATGTATTTGTCTACATTTTTTGCTGTCCATATTTCTGGAATCTCATTTTTAAAAAATCTATTTCTATCCCATTATCTTGAAATGTTTCTCTATATTTAGGTCTTTGATTTGTATTTATTTCTGTGCTTTCTATCCAGTTACATTGGTATATGTGCCGGGTTTTTTCCACATCTTTTAGGGTAAATATTGTTAATTACTGATTTTTCACTTCCATTGGATAATAGGAGAGAATAGAGAGATAAAATATTTGAAGGTCATTCCCTAAGCAAAAGAATGCAAAGTTTTTTTTAGGGTAATTGAAGACAACAACTTGATTACTTGCTCTAATGTCAACCTCTCATAGTAACCCTTACTGGGATTAATAGTTACATTTCACTAAAGATGATTTTGAACTCTAGAATTTTAGGGCCTTTCAGTGGGCTTCTTAGGGACAACCTTCAAGTGACCATTGACTATTACCAAATGCATAATAGAATGTTTGCAAACACAAGACCGAACGTTTAGAAAATGAAATAGGTATTTATTATTGTAAATATTTTCAGCCTTTGGTTTTGTTTCTAGACATATTTTTGGTCATAATTCAGTGTGTGTCAGCCATGTAACCTCTCCTCTGTTTGATGCTCCCTTTGCAAGTCATTACTAAGTTAGAAGAGTTGCATTTTAAGACTAATGATAGTACTTTGTTCTGTCTTCTATGACTGAATAAAAAATTAGAAATTTAAAGATACACAAATACCTAATGGAGGACTATATCAAATAATTTATATTTAGAAATAAATACAAATTTTTTTCTATTTCTTGCTTCGTATTGTAACACCTCAATTGTGGAGGTACCAGGGAAGAAAGAGAATATTTCCAGAACCTAATGTATAAAACA